TCCCCCCAGGGGGTGATTTCTCACTTTCTGTCTCTCTGTCTCTCTCTGTCTGGCGAGCGCACGTGCCCTATAGCGAAAAACCTCTCCAAAAAAAGAAATGATTAATTTTACTTATCATTGTTATTATTTTTTAACTTGCTACAGGGCATGTATGCTCACCAGAGAGAGACAGAAAGATTGAGAGAAAGTGAGAAAGCAAGCTGACAGATCTGGGACTCAAACCAAGGTCAGCCAAGTGGGAATCCAGTGCCTTAACCACCATACTACCTGCTGGTCCTAAGTTCTCTACTTCTTAAGGTCCCCAAGAGTATTTAAAATATATTAGTGGGTCAGCAGGTGGTGTGGAACTTAAGGTGCTAGACTCCCACGTGGCCAACAGCAGTTCAAGTACCAGACCTAGTGGCTTGAAAATCACATTGGGCACGTGCACATGCATGCCCAAACTCCAGGAGGAAAATAGTAGGAAAGGGACTACAGCATGGCCATCCCCACTGGGGGGTGATTTCTCATGTTCCCTCTCATTCATTGTCTCTGTCTCCACTGAGTGCATACTTCCCATGACAAAAAAACATTAAAAAAGTTTTTTTAATTAAAAATACACACACACACACACACATATATATATATATATATATACTCACACACATATAAAATTAGTCAATTTACAGCTTTTCAGAAAGATGTTTGTTGGGTAAAGAGAAGTATACCGTAATTGCTGTTGGTATTTACAATACACCTCTTGTCAGCACCTTCTTAATTTAAGAGAAGGTGATAATTATGGAGGGGTTATAAATAAGCAAAAAACTAATATTTAAAAAGTTAATAAAATGGAATGAACTAACTCCTACAAGCAGGCAACATGCATTTGTGATTAAATTAACTAAACAGCCTATAAGCATACAAAAAGGAAAGCAAAACTGATAACACTTACTTAAAAGATACTGCCAGTAACACCTCCAGATCTCTTGTAAATTTTTAAAAACTAGTTGAATGAGGTACAGAGAAAAGGACCAGCCTCCCACCAGGATGACGTAAATGGGACTTTTCTAAGACAGAGAGTAGAAGTGAAAGCAAAAAGTTACAACAGGCTTTCCATACATAAAAGAAGCAAAATGGAACTATGATTTTTTTTTTAAAAAAATCAACCTTCTCAAAATGCACAAAAAACACATCTCTTACAAAAGCTCTTTATCTTTAAAATGGTACAGTCTGCAAGGAACTCTGGGGAGACAAAATGCTAAATAACTTAAAAGCCTGACTGCGCAATTAGAAGACAAGAAGACTTTACCCCCCATGGAGCACAAGATTTTAAATAACAAGAGAGTTTGTATGTAATCATGCTCCAGTTTCATTTTGGGAAGTACCTTTCTGAATCTAAGTACTGACTTAGCCATCACTGCACATTTTCAGTGTTCTAAGATAACCCAGGAAAAGCCGTTCAGGGGAACCAGCAGTTAGCGTAATGGCTGTGTCGCTGGACTCCCACGTAGTCGACCGCGGTTCGCGTCTCGGACCCGGTGGCTTAAATCTCACACCGGGCGCGTGTGCGTGCGTGCCCAAGATCCCGAGAGGAGAATGGAGGAGAAGGGATTGCGGCGTGACCATCCCCCCTGGGGGGTGATTTCTCGCTTTCTGTCTCTATGTCTCTGTCTGTCCGGCGAGCGCACGCACCCTATAGCGAAAACCTCTCCAAAAAAAAAAAAAAAAAAGCCGTTCAGCATCCAGCTTACCCTAACCTCATATGAAGATCTGTTTCTTACCTTGGGCATAAACTTGGATAGTAAGAAAATGACGATTAGTAAAGATGCCACAATTCCCACGCTCATCCCAGTGGAATAGTAGAAAATCTGACTTCTGTAGAGACAAAATTTATTTCCTAACTACATGTACACTACTTCATACATGACACTGTTGAAACTAGGAAAACTAACTTAGTCAAGAAATTTCCACAAAAGGTACAAAATTAGAACAGAATCTAAAGCTCAAAATCTAAGGTCTGGAAACTGCAGAGACTGAAACAATGTAGTTGCTGCAAGATTGTGAAGATAGATCACTGAGGTCCCCTCAAATATGTCCCAATAATAAACCTGTGCTTAGTCTCCCACTCCCAACCCCCTCATCTCTCTCAACCCAATTGTTAATGATAATCTTTGTTCTGAGAAACTGCAGTTTCTCTGGGGAGAAGAAAAGCCAAGAACACTGCCCAAGTGGAGATTAGAAACTAGAAATGAACTGATTACTAGATGAATAGGCCAATCCTCTACAGAGCTAGAACAGAAAGCTCCCTCTCCTATCACAGTCTCTTCACACGAGTTATTACTCCCTCACAGTGAGTTTCTCGCAGGATCCCAAAATGAGGAACAATTTCCAACAGCCCCTCTCCAGCTTGACTTCAAATTTCGATGGTTAATCCTTCATTCATTATTCCAAATACTTTCGCTTGTGTACAAACTTGCTATTGATTCTAACTTACTATTGATACAAACACCTGGTCCTGTTAAAATGAGGCTTTCAGTATTACTTCTAATAGTGTAAAGGGCGGTGCTGCTCAACCTCCTAGTACTGGCTCACTCCTGTCTACCTCACGATGGATGAACCTAATGGCGGAATCCTAGGAGGCCATAAAGGGCCTGGAAAGGGAATGGCAATGCTTATAGTTTTCACGATAAAAGTCAAGCAGGATAGAAAAGACCTTGTTCTACACACTAGCCTTAGAACCTACCTGCTCAGCAAGTCTCCACAAAAAAATAACAAAAGTCCAAGGAGGAAAACGAGGAAGAGTTTGGGGTCGAATCCTGAAAGAAATAAAAGATTTCTGCTTAATAGGGAAACCAGTTTAAGGCATCATAGAATAAAAACCAATGCTGCTATTACTGGTCAGCTAAAGTAAGATAAACGCAAGCAGTCCAGCTAAACAGCATCGTAAATCCCACGTAAAACTCGGCACCCTCCCAAAGAGAAAGTATATTAGGTCTTGTTTTCAACTGTACTTTCCTAAAGATTTTATTTTATCTTGGCTATCTAGGATAAGTCCTAGAGAAATTAAGGTTTGCTTTACAGAGTTAGACACAGTGCCATCGGCACTTCTGGCCACCATCCACAAGGGGTCTCTGCCACCCTGGCTTTCAAGCTCAAGTCACTCAGGGAATTTGGCAGACTGGCCCAGAACTTTAGGTCAGGGCTTTGTATTGTTCCCTCACTGGCTGCTTTTCTTGCCCAACAATACCACCTACTTTCCTTCGCTACGCAGTACTTTGCTGGAAAAGCCTACATGGAAACACATCTCACCCAGAACCGGGGAGCCCAAGCAGAGGCCTCTAGTGGCATACCAGACACTCCCACAGCTTTCACATTCAAGAGTTCTGAGTTCAGGAGAGGCCCATAAACCGAATGGGAGCAGAAGGGATTCCTGTAGATGGAACACCAAAAAACAGGCCAATCCCATACAACCAGAGAACTGTGGAAACCTAGGACGATTGGAGGACATGACCTAGAAAGATTTCTACTACTTATAACTTCCCAGGACCCTGGGGTGTAACCAAGGAGAAACCAAATGAGAGAGAATTCAGAGGAACCCTCCTCCTCTGAAACGTTCTCAGACACCAAGAAGGGAAAACTCCCCCCCGACCCCGTTCCACTGAATAAACTTCAAACCGCAGTGGTCTTTGCAACTTTACTTATGGTTCCACAAATATTCTTTTCACATATGAGATATTAATATTCAATTTTACCTTTTCTCAGTTTCTATGGTTTAACCATCCATGTCTTCAAAGAATTATTTTGTTTATTATTATTATTTTAATTTGCTACAGGGCACATGCACCCACCAGAAAGAGACAGAGTGAGAGAGGGAAAGTAAGCAGCCAGGTCCAAGACTCAAACCATGGTCGGCCAGCACTCCAGCCACCACACCACTGGCTGGCCCAACTGTTCATGTCTTCAAATGTAGCCCTGTACACATTGGGACAGCTACCTTCACCCACAAGTATCCAGAAAGCAGAAACACATCTGTCTGATTTGCTCTGAGAGTACTAGGCGTATCAGCTCAGGACTATTGGCTGTATTAGTAATACAAGTCTTCAAAATTCTAGGTAAAGGGGTACTCAGAATTTTCTAACCTGAGGTGGGATCTTAATTTACAGCCTAAAGGCTCTGATGTAGGATGGAGTCTCCACAAACTGTTTGGAGCAATGGTATTCTCGGGGTTATAATCAGAACCGAATGGAGCCATCTTGGGCTGACTTCTATCTTACTAATTATACCCTCCAACGCCCAGTCCCTTATCCCTATCAGAAAAACAATGGTGGGGGGCTGGCAGGTGACATTGTGGTTAAGGGTGCTGGACTCCCACATGACCGACCATGGTTGGAGTCCCAGACCTGGCAGCTTGCTTTCTCACTTTCCCTGTCTCTCTATCTCTCTTTCTCTGTCCCTCTCTGGTCAAATTAAAATAAATAAAGTTAAATAAAATAATTCTTTAAAAAAAAAAAAGGCGAGACTTACTGCGGGTCACCATGACACTGTACTTGGTGTCCTTTTCTGTGATCTCAACTTTGAGGCAGGTTTTCGTGCTGTACGGACCCACATTAACATAGGTGTCATTTGACTTCTCTCTTAAAAATGAGGAAAAAAAGTTCCAGATACTGAATTGCTCTAGCTCCTTCAGTTTTTCCTCACTCTCCACCTGAGCAACTCGTACCAATTTGGAACTATTTATCCGGATCTGCAACAAAAGCAAAATCAGGAGGAGAAAGAAATAGGAATTTTACATGTTCACACATACATTTTTTTTTTTAAACTTCTAAGAGTAAACAGCTAAATCAGTAATGGCACTAGTTTTCCACAAGGCTTATGAGAAACACAGAAATGTAACAGCTGAACCATAATTGGGCAAATAACACTGCACATGGTACAGGGAGGCAGCTGTTAGAACGTCTTCTTGTTAACATGATCCGAATCCACTATTAGGCAGGAACACAGGGGAAAAAGACTTCCAAGCTAAAAGAGTTATCAATACAGCTATTTATAAGAGATCATACAAAGGGTCTAGAAAACTAAGAAAATTGCCAGGCATAAACAGCCCTAGGAAACTGAAAATGCTTCCCGTAATGACAGGCTGAGAAGTTCAACCCATTGTCACAAATCACTTATTATGGATAAATGCTGGTTATAATGTGCCCCAGATGGAGTATGATTTTCATAACAGACAACAACAACAACAACATCCCCACAAGCCCACCCTCATGTTTTTGATGCGAACAACACTCGTATCGGTAACTATGCTTATGGCAGCAGCATTTCCAAAGGACTCATTTTGTTCAATCACGATTACAGCCAGACACTCTTGCTTGTGAGGTGACTTAACAGTGTTATGAAATAAGTGAGATCAAAGTTATTCTACCAAGGGGAAACTTCAGCTCAGGGCGTTTACGAAATATCTGTGTAGAATCAAAATTGAATAAAAGCAGCAAGGCAAAATAGTTTACATCCTGACAGGCATGCAATAGTTTCCAGGCCAAAGAAGGCATAGGACTCTAAATAGAGACAGAAAAGTGTGTGTGTGTGTGTGTGTGTGTGTGTGAGCACGCACGTGCGCATGCACATGCTAAAAAAGGAAGGGGGGGTGGCGTGTGGTTAAAGTGATTGAATCCCACATGGCTGAAAGCTTGGTTCAAGTCCTGGACTCGTGGCTTGAAAAATATCTTGGGTGCATGTGCCTGAATGCCTGAATAAAGAAGGGATTATGGTGTGGCCATCCTCCCCCACTACCCCTCAGGGGTAGAAGAAGGGATTATGGTGTGGCCATCCTCCCCTACTACCCCTCAGGGGTATTTCTCACTTTTCCTCTGTCTCTTTCCAGTGAGTTTATGCACTCTACAACTCTATAGCAAGTTACCGAAAAAAAAAGAAAGAAAGAAAGAAAGAAAGAAAGAAAGAAAGAAAGAAAGAAAGAAAGAAAGAAAGGCCATTTTTTGAGGAAAAAGGGAAAGGAAGTTTATCTCAACCTCAGAAGTACTATAAGATACTTGGGCCCAGCAGATGACATAATGGTTACATCGCTGGACTCCCACATGGCCAACCACCAGGTTCAAGTACCAGGCCCAGCAGCTTGAAACTCACGTCAGGTACCTGTGCATACATGCCAAGAATCCCAATAGGAGAATGGAGGAAAGGGGATTGTGGCATGGCCATCCACCCTGGGGGAGGAGAGGTTCTCACTTTGTCTCTCTGGAGAATGAACATACCCTATAGCAAAAATCTTTCTCAAAAAAAAGAGTACTATAAGCTACTTAAGGGAAGCGGAGAGAGATGGGAACACGAATAGGCATTAAGTGCTTATTAATGAAAACACAATTCAAGATAATCGAAACTCTAAAAATATTCCTAACAAGGGCCAGCTGGTGGCATGAGGGTTGAGATAGTTGGATCCCACATGGCTGACTGCATGGTTCAATATGCTGCACACATGTCAGCCCAAAATCCCGAGAGGAGAATGGAGAAGGAAGGAGAAGGGATTGTGGCATGGCCATTTCTTCTGAGGATGATTTCTCACTACCCCAACCCTGTGTCTCTCAGAAGAGCGCATATGCCCTACAGCAAATGTTAAAAAGAAAAAAAAAAAAAGAAAAGTACCAAAGATACTCTTTTAAAAATGTGTGTGAGGGAGAAAAAGGTGTCCAAGTACTCACTAATCACATATTCACAGAAGCTGCCCCTGCGAGGGGCTTCCAAATCATTACCTGTATCCGGGTCCATATATCATGCCATTTTGGGATAAGCACATTCTTGTAACAGAATTGTTGGCTGGTAACCATATCATAAGCTTGGGATTCCCGAAGCATGACCACATTAGGCTCAATTCCAGCTTTATGCAAAGAAAGGAAACAAGAATTAAGCATAAGAGAACAAGCTAGTAACTATAACTCATTTCACATAAAGAATAAGCTGACCCCTTTCTTAAACTTGACCCCTTCCGTAAAATGTCAGCCAGACTGAGAAACGAACTAATTTTAAAAACTGAGATAAGTGAATAAGGCAGAGTTTTCTGTCAAATTTATTTATTTAAATAGTACAAAAAGCTACTATTTAGTGTTTGTTCAGACAGTACACTGTCTCATTTAACACTCCAGCCAATACTGTAAATAAGGTAGGCGCTCTGGTAATTCCTATTTTACAAATGAAGGAACTGATGCTTAAGAAATCTTAAATAATTTGCCCAAAGGCACGGAGCTAGTAAACAGCCTGAGACTCACACCCACGTGACTAGTCGTAGTTCAAGGTCTTAAAGGATTAGCTATCCTGCCTTTCTTACACAGGGATAGTTAAAGGAAGCTGAAAGTAACCCCATCTGTTGATTTTCTTCAACCTTCTCTTCTGAAGGATAAACAGAAAAGGCAACATTTTTTATACTGCAGGGTACACAAGAGGATACTAAGGTTGCAAAGTTGATTTTCCCAGTTATTTTGTTTCAAGTTTTAAAAGTAGCCAAAGAGTATACCCAGTCCTTACTTACCAAAACAGGATTCTCCCCTAAATTTGTAGTCAATCTCAGCTAATTCAAAGGTTAAAAGTGACCACTCAGGCTGGTTGTGTAGCCTAGTGTGGTTAAGGAAGCCAGACTACACATGGCCAACCACAGTTCGAATCCCAGCCCTGACCACTTGAAAAACACGGTGGGCTCATATGATTGTGTCCAAAATACTGTCAATATGAAAAAATTAAGGGATTACAGCACAATCATGTCCTGTTGTGTGGGGAGTGGGAGGGGCTACTTTCTCCCTCTCCTTCTCTGTCCAAAGTGTATACACGCTCTCTGGCAATTAGGGAAAAAATGACCTTTCTCTACTATCTTCCCACCCAAGTTTGCCCAAACTGTATTCTTCTTTTAAAATAATTATTTGATTTATTACTATTATTGAATTTGCTAAAGGACACATGCATTCACCAGAGGCGGGGGTAAGGGGGTGAGAAAACAAGACACCAGGTCCAGGACTCAAGCCACCTTCGCCATGTGGGAGTCCAGTGCCTTAACCACCAACCACCTGCTGGCCCCAAACTCTTTCACCAAAACATTTCAATGCCTTCTTTCTCGAGTTCTATGCTTGCCAACTTAACCAGCATAACTCCCAGTGGAAATTTAGTTTTCACTTTGGTTCTTGGTATAATGGTGGGTAGATTTAAATAAACTAAATAAAACAAAAACTGTCAACCAAAGTTACACACACACGCACACACACAGAGGCACTAATAGCCACCAGTCTAAACCGGTTTCAAGATGAAGCCAGGACTAATTTTTAAGTTAAATTCAGTCTTAACCTAAAGGGCACAAATTATAAAACTCAGAAGAAGGCATAGGTATAAATCTTTATAACCCTGGATTAGGCGATGGTTTCTTAAGTATGACACTAAAACATAAACAACAAAAACAACTAAAGAAAAACAGGCACATTAAACTTTATAAAAATTAAAAATAAAACAAAACTTTGGTTGGAGCTGGACAGCGGCAACTAGCGGCTTGGCTAGACCACACAGAAAGGTCCAGTGTGTGACTGAGGACTTTACTCTACACACTGGGCACATGAACACGGCTACAGTCAGGGACGCTACTGGGGTGCCCCCGCAAAGAAAAAAAAACTGTAGGAAAAAATTTAACTTGTGTGCTTCAAAGAACACTACCAAGAAACTGAGGGGCCAGCAGGTGGTATGGAGATTAAGGCAGCTGTATTCCACATGGCCAACTTCGCAGTTCAAGTCCTGGACCCAACAGTTGGGAAAATCACACCAGGCACATGTGCATTTGTGCCCAAAATCCCAAGAGAAAGGGGAGAAAGGGGTTATTGCATGGTCACCCTCCGTGGGGATGACTTTCCCACTATCTGTCTCTCTAGTGAACACATACACTGTATAACAAACTAAAAAAAAAAAAAAAAACTGCAAAGAAAATCCCAAAAATGGGAGAAGATACTAGCAATTCTCATAGCTCGTATGGGTTTACATCCAGAATACATAAAGAACTATTATGGAACCAGCAGGTGCAAGCCCCAACATAGCTAACAGTGATTCAAGTCCCAGACCTGGTGGCTTGCTTTCTCACTTTCCCTCTTCCTCTCTCTCTCTAGTGATCATGCAATGCCCTGTAGCAAATAAATAATAATAATAATAAATAAAATTAAATAATTATTTTTTTAAAAACTGTTCAAACTCAACAATAAAACAAAAGCCACTTTTTTAAACAGGCAAAAGATCTGACTAGGCAATTCTCCAAAGAAGCTATACAAATGGTCAAAAAACACATAAAAAGAGGCTCCACATAATTAGTTATTAAGAGAAGTGCAAACAATACAATCAAATACCATACACTTGACACCCACTAGGATAGCAATAATCAAAGAAGGTACAGTACGGGAGCTTGCCGGTGGTACAGCAGTAACGTGCTCTACAGGGTTCAAGTCTGGAGACCTGCCTGAGCATGCCAAAACTTTGTATGCCCATGATCCACCTGTGCATGACCCAGGGCTGGCTGAGGGCTGGGAGTGGACCCTATTGGAGATGTTACCTCTTTCTTTCCCTCTCTTGAAAGAAATTTAAAAAGAAAAGAAACCAATGATAATAACAAATGTTGGTAAGGATACAGAGAAACTGGAACCCTCATAGATTGCTGATGGGACTATAAGGTGGTCCAGACTCTTTGGAAAAGTTTGGCATTTCCTCGAAAAGTTAAACATAAAGTTACCAGGCCAGCAGGTGTCATGTGAGTGAAGGTGCTGGAGCCCATATGACCAACTCTGCAGTTCATGTCCCGGACCCGGCAGCTTGAAAAACACGCTGGGCAAGTGTGCATCCATGCCCAAAATCATGAGAGGAGACTGGAGGAGAGGGATCATGATGTGGCCATTCCCCCTGGGGGGTAATTTCTCACTTTCCCTCGCTCTTTCTTTCTCCAGTAAGCACATGTGCCTTATGGCAAAAATCTAAAAAAATAAAAAATAAAAAAATAAAGTTACCATATAGCTTATAATTCTATTGCTAGTATATCATTGAAAACATGTGTACACAAAAACTTCGAAGTAGGGACCAGCAGTTGGCATAATGGCTATGTCGCTGGACTCCCATGTGGCCAACCGTGGTTCAAGTCCCGGACCCAGTGACTTAAACTCATGCCAGGCGCACAAGAGTGCGTGCCCAAGATCCCGAAAGGAGAATGGAGAAGAAGGGATTGTGGCATGGCCATCCCCCCTGGGGGGTGATTTCTCGCTTTCTGTCTGTATCTCTGTCTCTGTCTTTCTGGCAAGCACACGTGCCCTATAGCAAAAACCTCTCAAATAAATAAATAAATAAAATAAAAAATTTTAAAAGGTATGTTCTTTAAAAAAAAAAAAAACTTTGAAGTAATATTCATAGCAGCATTATCCATAATAACCAAGTAGAAATAACCCAAATGTCCATCAACTAATGAATGGATAGTACCCATACAACAGACAATTATTCAAACATAAAGAAGGATGTATTTATACATGCTACAACATGGATTAACTTTAACCACCATGCCACCTGCTGGCCCCAACATGGATTAACTTTAAAAGATTATGCTCAGAGGGCAACCCATTTTCCAGGACCCCTCCCTTCTTAGGAGCTCTTTTTTTTCCTTCTCTCTCTTTTAATAAATTCCCCGTTTTGCTCTATCTACTCTGTGTCCATGACTCTAAGTCTTCCTGAGCTTGGGACAAAAACTCATGTGTCACTACAAGTGTGGGCCTGATCACCCCTGTGCTCTCCGTGTTCCTGTGTCAAAACTATAGACACTTAAACTTTGACTTAATCCTTAATGTCTTAATATTTAGAAATAATTCAAGCATTTCATTCATATTATTTCACATAACACATAAATTTTAAAAAAAAAGATTGGGGCCAGCAGATGGCGTAATGGCTATGTTGCTGTACTCCCATGTAGTCGACCGTGGTTTGAGTCCTAGACCTGGTGACTTAAACTCTCACCAGGCACAAGTGCGTGTGCCCAAGATCCCAAGAGGAGAATGGAGAAGGGATTGTGTCATGGCCATCCCCCCGGGGGGTGATTTCTTGCTTTCTGTCTTTCTTTCTGGCAAGCACATGTGCCCTATAGCAAAAACCTCTCAAAAAAATTAAAAAAAATATGCTCAGTGAAATCAGACAGAAAAGGCCACATAATGTATGACACCATTTACAGGAAATGTCTCACACAGGCAAATCCAGAGACAGAAGGTAGAT